TGTATTGAAATAACTTAAAAACTACTGTGCTGATTTCCTAAATTCTTGCACCATTTGAAAGGTAATTTATTAGTGAGTGACGTAGGCAACATCTTTTATTATTTTTTAACATCACGCGGAAGATGTCGCGAGTAACAGCTAGTATATTTTAAATGCAAAAGTCGAAGCATGGATGTTTGTTCGAGTTGGTTTCAGATTTTTATTTTCACCTATGTCCAATACGGCTCAACAAATTTCACTGAAATTTGACATAGATAGAAAAAAACACAGGCTACTCATTTTTTTTCTAATTCCGTTCGGACTAGCTAATTTAGAATACAATCAATTGTAAACTATTCATTGTACTACCTTTTTGTACTAATTAACCTGTGATTGTTTATAAGTTTGTTAACAATGTTTTGAAACCAGGCGTAATGCATAAAGCAATACTACATCATAAACATGCAATCTTTTAATACACAAATTAAAGTTATATGAAAATTGCATGATACAGATAAAATCAATTAATATCAATAGATTAATTCTAAATTCAAACAGCCGTCACTGAATTGGATTGGACGCCATTATCTCGATTGTTAGTTCAAGATCGCCTTTGTTGTGAATGACATCTGAAACTCACTTTAGACTTAATGCGGATTGTAATGTTCATGATAAGATGCAGATAAAGTATCAAGATGAATTAAAAGATTTTGGATAACTGAAATTGTAAACACACCCAGTTCACAAAGAGATTTTCACGAGAGATTTTCGCTACATTTTTGAGACAATTGTTAACTTACATAGCTATAGCTGTCCCTGGCGACTCCGTCCGCGCAGAATAAAAAAATCCTTAATTAGTAGCCTATGTGTTCTTTCAAACTAGGTTACATATATGCCAAATTTCCTCGAAATCTGTTCAGCCGTTTAGACTGTAAACTTTAAGAAACATGCATCCATGTAAACTTTCGCTGTATAATATCAGTAAGATAAGATTATTTAGTGTGGTTTTTATAATATACATGTTTACATAAAGTAATCTTTATTCTGATTCAATATCGTATATTGAAACCTTCGCTGTAAATCTGTCCATTTTCCTTACCCAATTTATCATCCTTAACGCAAAGATTGACAACATAAATCCAAATCTTATAGGTTAGTGTCATTATTTACTTTTAGAGCCAACAAGCTTAGTCTTATTCTCCTAGGCATTGCAAACGTGAAAATATAATACCATTTATTTACATGACAGTAATATTTTTGAATAGTATCAGAAGTTGGGTACGGTCGGTATTATCTACCGTAGCCGGGGGCCATCTCCCGTAGGAAATCAGCCCTTATACAGAGTTACTGACTTGGATTACTTTAGAAGACGTTTATAACAATTTCATCTGAACTGACGAGTAGGTCAAACACATTGCTGTTAAATTTCCACTAAGAGCTACGCTTAAGCGTAAACACACACTTCTTTGTTGCCTAAGATGTCAGCAATTACAGCATATTTTTGAATAACACTTTTCTTAATAAAAAGCCCTGCACTAACGTCATGCTTTAGGCTATATATTTTCCGGCCAATAAACTTAGGGGTAAATATTTCGGATAAAAATCCTATTATGGGAAAGAGACCATAAGTTGCTCCCAACATCAAGGCAGCAAGGTTGTTATTGTGTCATGTCATTTTGACATTTGCTATTAATAATATGACAAATGTAAACAATAAAATAAAATTTTCATAATTCCATGCGGATGAAGCCACACGGGAACAGCTAGTATTTAATATAAGAGATTAACTGAGAGCTTGAGTGACTATTTAACGATTCTGAGTACGATGGTACATGTTAGTAAACATTGGCATGGGAAGAACGACCGGAACTACAAAATACAAATTTTATCCTCTTTATAATATTACTATAGATAAAGATTAAAAAGATTTAAATAGAATAAAAAATCAGTTTATTATTGATACCAATAAAAATATCTATTTCTTAGTGTACGCGGGAGTACAGACACAATCATCCTCTAGGCATAGACCCAGGGTATGCTTGTCCTCGTTATAGCATTGCGCGGAGCATTTCTCGTTAGTACAAGATGCTGAAATAAAGATTAAAAAAGTTAAAAAAACAATAATAAAAAGGGCATGATAATTACGAGTAAAAACATTAACCAAAGGACAGCTAGTCGGATAATTTTACGACGGAAAACAATATTTAATACTAAGTAGTTAAACATTGTGTTAAACCTCATAGATTACTTTAAAAATAACTTAACGATAACAAAGTTGCTGCATTAGAGACATCAGCAGGTACCCGAAGGGACTCCTCCTCGGGGTCCTCCATAACGATCCGAATATCATCTTTATTGCGGTTCAAGACAGGACTTATTTTTCCATTGCTTATGCAATTTTAAAAATGCTTGAAATATTAATTAATAATACCGCACATATAAGAAAAAATAATATGATGTTGAATATTGATTTTGGCCATTATAGATTACATTGTCTCAATATAATTAACTGCATTGACACTTGTATCTTGTATACATTCAATCTCATTGGCAAAAATGTATACAAATATACAAGTGTCACAAATATCAAAACATATACAAGTGTCTGTTGTCGAAAATGTAAGTGACTGTAATCACACTTACTCTGTTTCAGTTTATTCTTTGTGCAACTTTTCCCGGTACCGCACAATTTCTGACCCGTACCTAGACAGTAACATACGCTACATGTGTCATCTTCTATCCACAGCTTCCCAACTACACATTCATTCGCTGAAAACAGACTATTGATTAATTTTTGTTTCTTATTTCTCCCAACTTAAGGTTATAATATGAGTTATAAGTTTTATTGTAGCCTTAATAGGTTTGATATTACAGGGAATTGTGATTGAATGACCATTGTTTGCCTTGAAGAGGCATTTACAGATTCACCGGACTTGAGGTAGCTGAGCACACAGGGCGCTTAGCCTAAAACTCGTTTATGAGTAACTAAGCTCGAGGGCTCTCTCAGGAGCCTCGGGAACTTCGTTATTATTACCGGATTGGGAGGCCACCGAGCTCTTAGATCCCTTCGGTGGACGATCCATGTTGATATTATAGATTCATAAAAATAGTATGGCTTCTTGCCAAAGTACAGTCCATAATTAACTTGAAAAAAATAATTTTAATTGTATCAACGTAATTATTTAAATTGTTGAAGTTTAATGTTGATTAAGACCACTAACTCCCGCCAGAATGGTGCGCTCTAAATGACATTGACAGCTGTCATAGGGATGGGACGTATGCCAATAATCTAGTGATGCGCTAATCCAGCCCAGTACTGAATTTCTTCCTAACAATACACATCAAAAATAAAATTTAAATTATAA